TCAAGATGCTCGCATTTATGTACTCGTTGTCCTTTTGTGGTATTTTTGACTCGTTTTCTTCTAACCGTCAAGCCTTGGAGTGACGCGTCGGTATTGGTGAGAGACCCTTCTAAGTTGCCTTCGAGCTGAGGCCAAAAATCCATTTGGAATTCTGAATTCATTATTCAGACACAAGAACTGACCTCATGTACGCGATATGGAGGCTGAAAGGCAGAGGCTCCTTTTTCAAAGGAAAAGCGAGACCTAAAGTCACAGGCACTTATTTTGGGATCGGTTCATTCGAGAAGTGGCTAGTAAGATCAAGCTCGGTCGAGTAGGTACAGTAGCATTTGATTAGTACTGATCAACACAGATTTTATCCACATTTAGTAAAAGACTGTGTTCCAAATAAAATCATCTGTGGGTTTCTGCTGCAGATAAGGAGGGGGGTAGAGTGTTTAAACGTTGAATTCTCCAAATTCTCCGTTATGACCCTGGTATGGACAGGATGACGTATGATCTTGTGTCTACTCACCATGATCGCTCAGCTGATCAGTTAACAGAGAGCGATTTGAGAAAAAGGGCAGTAAACAGCAGAAAGCGGTCAGCAAAAAACAGATTTGCCATAAGAGGGGTAACAACAGAAGTTCACTCACATTTAATTACAGTACAACGTTTAATCACAACGTTCACTTGGAGTCAGAGTAGCTCTTAGGCTGCCATCTTTCGTAGCACTAATTTGAGTCGTTGACTGGATCTTTTGGTCCCTCAAACCACCCTCTCTCTTCACCATCCTCTCTGTAGACTACGCCAAAACCCGCGCCAACCCGAACCCAACCCAACCCGAACCCGCAAATGGGTTGGGTTCGGGTCGACTTTGTTGAGATAAGTGACGCTTCAATGTTTGTATAGTCGATAGGAATTGATTGTATTGTTGTGTTGTTCTGGGTACAAGAGGCTGGTCGCCAGGTAGACATATATACATGCACGTGCTCCCGTTCCCGTGACTACATCAGTGACCGTGATATTCAACACTCCCACTCGCTGATTTCCTTCGTCATAAAAGATGTCAGCGACACTTCATCACGGTTGCTAAGCCCCATTAAAACCCCCCAAAACCCCGTGGTAAAAAGGAGGGAAAGGGTGCCTGCATGTTGCGTTTTGGTTTGGTTTGAAAGCTGGTGCGTCATGAGAGTATCACTCAATGCCGAGACCCTTTCGAAACCATTCAAATCTGTTTCGGGCAAGGGGCTTCGTCAAACCATCAGCAATCTGTTCCATTGTTGGGACATATCTCAGTTCTACTGTCCCAGAGTCTTGAACTTCTCCTTGCCACTTTCGTTGGATTTCCATATGTTTCGTACGCGAATGGTATTGAGGGTTCGAGGCCAGCGCAATGGCTCCCTGATTGTCGCCGCAAATGATTGTTGCGCATTTTCCTTGGCTCATGTTCAGCTCATGAAGGAGTCTCCTCAACCATATAGCTTCCTTCGTTGCTTGTGTCTGGCCAATGAATTCTGCTTCGCAGGTTGATAGGGCGACAGTGCTCTGCCGTTTCGACTGCCAGCTGATCGCTCCACTTCCGATGTTGAACAGGTATCCGGCCGTCGACCGTCTCGTTTGGCGACAGCCAGCCCAATCTGAATCTGTGAAACCACGAAGCATCTGGAGCGGGCCTTTGTATGTGAGGCTGAGAAATCTGGTGCCTTTGAGATATCGAAGAATGCGTTGGCCGAGCTTCACGTGTTGTGGACCTGGGTTTGCCAAATGTCTGCTTGCCGCTGAGACGGCAAATGCAATGTCACCCCTGGTTCCAAGCATGATATACATCAGCGATCCGATCATGCGCTGATACTTGTTCTTCAGGCTTGAGGGGCAGACGTATTCAGGCCCGTTTTCTGGTAGAGGTGAAGTGTCTATAGGCGTGCTGACGGGTGCACAGTCTGACATGCCAAATTGCTGGAGGACCTTGTACACGTAAGCCTCTTGGCTGAGAAAGAGGATTCTATTCTGCCGGTCCCTCCGGATAGCCATGCCGAGATAGTAGCTGCATGGTCCTAGGTCTGTCATGTGAAAGCGATTTCTAAAGCTCCGTTTGATCTTCTTTATCTCTGCAATGCTTGGCCCGACGATTAAGAGGTCATCAACATATACTGCAATGTACATGCCACTCCGAACAAAGATGCTGAGATCAGCGTTGATCGGCTCAAAGCCAAGGCCCCGAAGGAAGTTGGTAAGAGTCTGATACCAGATGCGAGGTGCTTGTTTCAGGCCGTAGAGTGCTTTGCGGAGCTTACAGACCCTAGATGTGCCATCCGTAGTGTGGTGGGGCTGTTCGACATAGATCTCGTGGTCAACCTCGCCGTATAAGAACGCTGTTTTGACATCCATCTGCTCGATCTCGAGATCAAGGGCTGCTGCAATTGCGAATAGAGCCTTATAGCTCATCGGTTTGACCACCGAGGCGAAAGTTTCGTCATAATCGACACCCTCCTCTTGAGTGAAACCTCTGACCACCCATCTGCACTTGTAGCGGACGATCTCTCCGCGAGCTCCTCTTTTCAGTTTGAAGATCCACTTCCCGCTTAGGACTCGGCGATCGTTGGGCAGGTCAACGAGTTCCCAAGTTTTGTTTTGCTTGAGCGATTGTATTTCTTCGGTCATTCCCTTTTCCCATTCGAGCCATCGTGGATCATTCTTGGCCTGACGAAGGGACCTTGGTTCAAAAGGTTCAGTCTCTTCCGCAGCTACGGTCAAGAAAGTTGGAATCACATTCTCGTCAGGGACATTCATCAACGTAAGTTCTTCTTCATCATAATCAGATGTGTCCTGGGAGATTTGTGTTTCTCGGAGTTTGAGTTCAGGGTGACGTTCAAGTGTACCTTGTGGCACGATGTGTTCTGCACCACCCTCTCGAAGCTCAGAATAATTCAGCCAATCTTGTGGAATTCGCCCTTGCTGAGCATCGCCTTGTTGCTGGTCACCGCCGAGTGGTGAGTCAATCCTGGGGACGGAATCCTCTAAAGAAGATGATAAGGAACCGAAGATATCGTCACTCCGTGTTGGTGAAAAGGTTCTTTCTCCTTGTCCAGTAACAGTGGGCTGCGAGTTATTATTACTCGGCTGAGGCATATGCTCTTGCACTTTGTCGTCCGATGATCTAGGCTGTGTTTGCCCTTGCGGCGCCAGGGATGCTTGGCGTCCCGAGGCTGGCACGGATGCATGTCGCACACTTGCCGACGGTTGGTTTACTAGTCCCACCGTTTCACTCCCCCCTGAGGCAGCAGCCGTTGCCCCAGGTAAGCTCTGCTGATCGGCTCCCACATCTTCTATAGTCTGTGTGGAGGGTGTGTTGAGGACTTCATGAAATTCTGCGTTTGGTGTACCAATAATCCTGCCGTCTTCCAGTAGGATGCGGTAGTTCGTATTTCCTTCGTATCCCAGTAGCAGACATGGCCTTGTTCTTGGTCCTGCCAACTTCTTTCTTTGTCTGGGTGGAATGAGATACTCTCCCTTGGATCCAATGACTCTTAGCCGCGATAGGTCAGGCTTGTCACCATACCAAGCTTGGTACGGAGTCATGTTACGTTTGGATGATGGTGATCGATTCGAGAGGAAGGCCGCCGTCCGCGCAATCTCCGGCCAGAACTTCGGCGGTAGTTTTGCATGCGCGAGCGTTGGTCCGACTCGATCGTAGATTGTCCTATGGGCTCTTTCTGCCACTCCATTCTGTTGGTGCTGATCGACACCTGTGACTTCGGCATGGATTGCTCTTGAGAAGAGGATGAACTTCATTTCTTCTCCCACTTGCTCAGGGATTCGGTCAAGACGAATGCGTCTGCATTTGCGCTCGGGGCGCTCATTGTGATCGAGAAAATACCGCAAAGACTCAACAACGAATTCTTGGCGCTGTGGTATGGGGATGATCTCAACCCATCCAGTAAAGTCGTCGACAATGGTCATCCAGTAGCGGCTACCATCAAGGCCCTCGTCAAATGGCCCTGCAACATCGATATGAAGGAGTTCCATGGCATATTTGGATCTTGTGCTCGCTTCTGAACGACGATGGGGGGTTTCGGTCATTCGTCCCTGGAGGCATGGGTTGCATGGTTGGCGTGGTGCAAAGTCCTGAATGCCATAGGCTTGCCTTTTGAGTCGTTGAATGTTTGCATCGCTCATGTGGGCAAGCCTGTAGTGCCAAAGCGCCGATTGCGGTCTGATGTGGTAAGCCGGGAAAGCGGGTTTCGACCACAGGTCGAGTGCGTAAACTCCATGATATTGGCTTGCAGTGAACAGGTTCCCCCCATCTGACTTATTCCGAATCTTTGCGCCATTGCTTGAGAAGTCAATCTTTGCCCCTCGATTGAGAAGTTGCAACACAGATATGAGGTTTGCATGGGCGGTCGGGACGAACAAGACGTCATCTAGAACCAGCCACTTCTTTTTGCCTTGTACATTGCACAGGATGTTTGCCACTCCTATGCCGGAAGGGGCCGTAGAGGTGTCGACGCTCCTTAGTGGTGGGCCATCGTATTTGTCCATCTTGACGAATCTCGAAGCGTTGTTGCAGACGTGCTGGGCACATCCACTATCCACGATCCAGGCGTCACGGATTGAGAGAGCTTTCATGACCATCAGACTGGGAATATGATTCAAGGTCGCAAAGTTCCCTTCGACTTCCGTTCCGAACGCTTCATTGATGTCTTGTCTCGAGACTTGTGTCGCCATGAAGGTAGGTCTTTTGGGGTTCCTCGGCCCCTCATAGTCGTCGTCTTCATTGTCTGTACTGGCACGCTTCTTAGGCGGCTTACTGGAGTTGGCGTTTGCACCGCTGGACCTTGTCCTGCGAGCCTTTTTCCGTTTTTCTGGGTTCCTCAGATCGGGATTCTTCTCGAAGCATTCAGGCTCTGTATGATAGGGCTTTCGACAGAAAACACAGAACGGGACATTATTTATCTCTATTCGGCATGTTTGTCCGTCTGAGGACGGTATGATCTTTTTGTTGTCCCCAAAACTTCGGCTCAGCGTGAAGGCAGGAAGCGCATTTGTGTCTACAGGGTTGTTACCCAGCTGTCCTTTTCGATGCTCCTCCTCGATGGCCTTGTTCTCAATGTAGTCGAATGTGGGAGCGGCTTTGTTGATATTTCCATCTTCATCTCTATCATTGACAATATCCATTTGTCTGAAAACATGGTCGCGGAAGCTCTCATATTCCGGACCTAGAGCATGCAAGAAAAAGAAGGTTCGTTCGATTTCAGACGTGACACAAGCGGGGTCAAGCAGGAGTTTTTCCGCGTGGATCTTTCTGATCTCGGCGCCGAGGGCTTGTGCACTCCCACACTTTGCTCGGGTAAGAGACATGTACTTTCGCTGAAGATTGACATATGTCCCTGAGCCCTCTGGTTTAAAATTTTCTTTGACCGCCTTGATCAGGTGTTGGACTCGAGTGATTTCGAAGGCGTTTATCCGCTGAGCCGCATTGTGGGTCAGCTTTGCCGCAATCATTGACGAATAGAATGTCTGGCGGTGGGACCAATGCTGTGCCTCCTCCTCTTCCATAGGTGGGATCGGTCCATCTTTAGCCACTGGAGATATACGAAGAAACTCCTTGACCTTTTGGTTCCACTGAGTCCAGTCGTTGGCATTATCAAGAATTGGTATGGCATTGTAGAACGAGCTCAGGCCTATTTGTTCGAATTTATTCGAATCCATCCTGATGAGGGGACTCTTCGGTGCTGAAGAATTCAGCGCTTGAAGTGTCACTCGAGTGGATCGAAAGGACAGAAGGCGTGCAGCTTAACAATTCGGGAGATCTTGGCTCGAGACCAAAGAGTTCCAGGCTCGAAGCCTTGCTTGGTTGACTGGAATGAACGGATTGGGAACGCTCTGACGACCTTGGGCTAGGTGTATGCGACGGAGGAACGTATTCGCTGTCTGGTAGCTCGTAGGGCTTTAGATGTTGGCTGTACGATTCGAAGAAGTGAGGAAAACGGATGCGATCGACCACATATCGTGATTGTTGATCTGTGAAGGTTGAGGGTCTGTTTGGTCGGAGATTGTACCGGGCTTGGTTGTTGCCGGTCGAGGTCAAAACTGTATCGGTGTTTGTTGAGCTAGGATAACTTGGCCCTTGTTCCGGACTGGGGAGTGCGGCTTGAGCTTGACGTAGAGAGTTGTGCTCTGTAGTGTGGTGGCAATCGGCAATCACAGAGGCAACAGCGAGCGCCCGACGTGTTCGCTCTTCTGGAGGTAAATTTCTATAGGCTCCTCCGACCGAGTGTCGGGAGAGTGATGGGAAATTCGTCTTCTGGATTTGCGTAAAGCGCCAATGGCGGATGTTTCGAAGATAGCACACTAGACTGAGCTCTTCGTCAATCCAGTTGTGTCCCTTCTGTGATCCGTGTTTTCTTCTCATGAGATAGAACGAAAACTTCGTCCCGTGTCAAGGATATCGGGGGTTTGAGAAGAAAAAAAAAACTAGGGTAACGGTGTGCTACAGAAATCAGGTTATTGCCTGTGTATCTGGCGGTGTGATGTGTCTGCGGCGGTGGGCCGGACGTTGTTTGTTGTGCAACATGACCGTAGGATATCGCTGGTCTGACAATCATCTGGAGCGGTGTGATGGCTGTCGCGTATTTGTAACACAGAGGTGTATCCCAGGATTAATCTGAAGAATGCCCGTAGCGGTGTGGTGGTTGTTTCTGAGATTATTGCGATGATTCGCACAATTCATTTTCCTCTGGGACGTGAGAACCGTGTTTTCTCTGAAGTTCGAAGCAAGCTGTTCCGGTTCGGTCAATAGATGAAGCTATCACTTGTAGGGGAAACTTAGTAGGAGGTATTTTCAGTCTGATGTGCGCAGTCCCGGGCTCATAACCTGTTGAGATAAGTGACGCTTCAATGTTTGTATAGTCGATAGGAATTGATTGTATTGTTGTGTTGTTCTGGGTACAAGAGGCTGGTCGCCAGGTAGACATATATACATGCACGTGCTCCCGTTCCCGTGACTACATCAGTGACCGTGATATTCAACATATAAATCTAGATTTAGAAACCCGCAAATAACCCATCTCAACCCGAATTTACATAAAATTTAGGTCTTAGCATTCATAAAAATACTTAGTAATTATGTACGGTATTCTTTAATACCGTTTATATCTAGTTATCTATTACCTTATATATATTAATAGATATTATATAGGCTATATATAGGCTATATATAAGCTCTATATATTTTTATAATAGATATAAGGCTAGAATAGGTAAGTGGGCTATGTAATTAGGTCCTAAATTATATATATATATATTTCTCGGAGGGTATATACACTACTTTTTCTTAGAGCTCTGTAATTTATTCGAAACCTTGAAATCTAGCTTTTTTTTATATATAAGCCTTTATATATAATATATAGCCTATTATCTATATAAATATTTCTATATATACGAATATTACCTAGGATAATATAGTTAATACAATACTAGAACATACGTATTTTTGCATAATCTATATATAGCCCTTGCGGGTTGGGTTCGGGTTATGCGGGTTCGGGTTGGGTTATCTACCTCGACCCAAAACCCGTGTTGAATATCACGGTCACTGATGTAGTCACGGGAACGGGAGCACGTGCATGTATATATGTCTACCTGGCGACCAGCCTCTTGTACCCAGAACAACACAACAATACAATCAATTCCTATCGACTATACAAACATTGAAGCGTCACTTATCTCAACATTATAACCCGCTGGGTTGGGTCCGGGTTATAACTTATAACCCGAACCCGCTGCGGGTTCGGGTGCGGGTTGAAGGTCTTGACCCGCATTGCGGGTTATGGCGCAGTCTACCTCTCTGTATCTTAGTACTGTATATTTGTTTCCATTCATAATTTCAGAGTTCTAAGAGGACACGAGAAGCAAAAAAATCCTGCACAATCTTGCCACTGGTTGGTACAACGGTTGGCTCACCAGGAGAAAATGCGGTTGTTAAAAACTACTGATTCAAGAAGTGCCATGAGATGAATGATGCAGTTGCTAGATCAATGGAGTATCCACGGAAGAAAGCCGCTACATTTCACAGGACGAACATTATGTACGTCATTGCAGACCTGACCCTCCGCTCTCCTTTTAGCCCGCGAGGTCACTAACAGCGCTGTTGATTCAGCACGCCAGATGACCGAACTTGATTTTAAAAAGCCCAGCCTTAACGCCCCAAACGCCAGATCAGCTGACTTGCCATATATGGACGAAAGATAGCATCCACCCCTTTCCCGTCTGTGAGCTTTTCATCTGACAAACATAGACAGAGTGATGGGATTAATACTGCGGACAATATAGCAACTTGGAAAATTACTTCGGCACGTGCTATTTTCTGTGGCTTATACCATCAATTGAGTGTTATTCTGATATTGAGGGAAGATCAATGTTCTTGTTTCTCTCCCCCTTGCTTCAATCAAGCGGCCAGCTCTTTGATGTGATTTTGTTGCCGATCGATTCCTATTCTGTCAACTAAAAAATGTTATTATTTATTGCTGTGTTTTGTTTTGGATTTACAGCACACCTTCAGCGGCTTCTCTGCTTTCCAACTTGGACCACCAACCGCGAATATGACTTCTCAACACCAGAACAGCGAAATTGGATGGCATACTTTTAAGCCTTCCAGCAGAGATGCATCTCAGTACAGCACTCGTCATTACGCTGCGACCCTCTCTCCGGTCTCAGCACCTTCGATTCATGCAACCTCAACAAGAAACAACGCCATGATTACGGAAAATTCAATCGACAAGACCTACACGAGGTCTCGGACCCTACCAGAGATAAGTGGCCACACAACCGAGGCTAGGCTTGAAGGAGCATTATTTGTACAGGGGATGCCAAATTTCCTTTCTTTCCAAGCACGAACACGTACGATCGCCGAGCTTGTGAGCGGTTGCTCGATGGCCCGCTATTATTCATCAAACCACGTGCCGCAGCCATTTCGATGCTCTTACACCACGCTTCCATCAGAAATTCGGGCAAAAAGAAATCTACAGAACACAAACACCATGTTATATCCGTATGCTGCATTCCACCTTTCACGTATACGCTTGATACAGACCGAAATATCGAAAAGCCGGGCCAAAAATCGACCCCACTCTACTCCAATAGTATTTCGAATGCGTCGCAACCACACGAAGCAAACCGGATGTCTCGATCCGACATGAATTTGGATCCTACTCTTCCAAGCCTGAGGTCAATGATGGGCCAATTTTATTTGAGCGCTCCCGCGAACTCTCGAAACAAGTACAGGTGCAAATTATGTAAGAAGTATTTTAAACACCCATCCAAATTGCAAATTCACATGCGCAGCCATACTGGAGAGAAACGTAAGTCTATTCTGAATTCACCGAAGAAGCCGGTAACAAGCGCTAACAGAAATGTCTGTTTAGCATTTGCCTGTAAACAAGAAAGTTGCGGGAAACGATTTTCCGTGGTCGCAAATTTGCGTCGACATATCAAGCTGCATAGCAGGCCAAAAGCTTAGCTTAATTTTGGGTTGAGGTCCAACAGCCTTTCATTCTTGCTCATTGAATAACTACTTATATACTCATCTCAAACCAAAAGTAGCATAACAGGCAATCATGCGAGGACTGGTCATAATTTGGATTTATTCGCAGTGGGATTACATTGTTCTAGTTTCTCCTCGAAAGTAGGAGAGGGGGAACTCCACGCCTGCACAGAGAGAGTCAATTTCAAATTGAACGACGTGCAATCTTGGAGCTTGTCGTTTTCTGGATACAATCTCCTAAAGAATCCTTCCACTCTACAATCTTCCTCGGCTGCCACCTCAGTATCTCCCAGCATATACCATGGAAAATTGTCGCATAGATCCTGGATGATATTCGATGGGCTTTATCATACCTATGCTCTGGGCCATTTGATGACTGACCATAGTAATCTCGGCAAGTTCTTCCGTTGCCGATGCGATGCATGCAGGTACGTATTTAACTTAATCTAGTAAGGGGATGTAGCCGTAAAACCTGGAATATTAATATCTCGGTTGCCACTCCGATGTAGGTCAGCGAATCTTGTCAAAAGATGACGGAAAAGAATCAAAGCTGGTGGCATCGATACTCGGAAGGAGGGATTCTCAAGTAGGGTATATCTTGAGTGTACCCAAGAAGCGTCTAATCATTGCGATCGAGCAACCCAATCCAGTGTTAATCAACATGTTCTGACCAAGAAAAGCAGAGTTGATTCGCAGCTCCAGCTCTTGACATCATCACTATTTCCCTCCGACACCAGTCGGTTCCCCGGGTAATTCGTACATCGGACTATGGTCCAGATCGTGCTTAAGCTCATGACCACCTGCTGATGCTTCATGAATTGTATTGGACTCTAACTCCGATTGTGGCCCTCGATGGCGAACCTCATACGGTGATGTGTCCGTAGTCGCCGCCAATGTATATTGAGAATTATCTTCCAGCCTTTTGTTCTTCCGTGCTCGAAGGAAAAGCGCCGCAAAAGCAGATATCGCTAGCAGAGCACCGACGCCAGCACCCACACCAATGCCTGCTTTTGCCCCTGTCGACAGGCCCGATGACCCTGATGTGTATGATGTCTGATTCGCGATAGGGATCGCGGTAGGGGTAAAGCTAGATGTGGCACCGAAAACGGCAGGGATGGTGACGGCGCTCGTCGTGTTGCAACAGTCAGTGTTATTGAAACCGCAACAC